TAGAGCATCGCTTGGGAAGAGTAGAGTCCCAGATTTGCCGGGGAGTCACATATTTCTTACCGCTAGGCATGCTGGACAAGGACTACTAAAATGGCATTCCCACAATACACCACTGGCTCCCCGATTTTTTTTATATGGTGCACACTGACCATGGAGGCCCATTCTCTCACATGTGGGCCTACCAGCTTTCTCCTGCTTGATCTGAAGCCGCTAGAATTTATGCGTATTAATACGTCAAACACGGTGGCTCATAAGACATACATATACGACCGAAACAGTCGAAGGGTTAACTCCACACTTTCTCTTAATTTCCACACTCCAAATTCTCTGCATAATATTTACACCAGACGTTGCCCTTAGACAGAACATCTCCACCGCCTCCAACTGCCTCCTCGCTATGGCATTTACAACCCAAGCTTCAGACCCATATAAGAGTGTTGGTACCATTATACTTTCATACATTCCCTTCTTTGCATCCACAGATAATGTTTTTTGTCTCCACATATACCTCAATGCACCACTCACCTTTTTTCCTCCATCAATTCTATGGTTAACCTCATCCTTTATACATCCATCCACTGACACATCAACTCCCAAATATCTGAAAACATTCACTTCTTCCATACTCCTCCTCTCCAATTTGATATCCAATTTTTCTTTATCTAAATCATTTGATACCCTCATCACCTTATTCTTTTCTATGTTCACTTTCAACTTTCTACCTTTACACACACTCCCAAACTCATCCACTAACCTTTGTAACTTGTCTTTAGAATCTCCCATAAGCACACTATCATCAGCAAAAAGTAACTGTGTCATTTTCCATTTTGTATTTGATTCCCCATAATTTAATCCCACCCCTCTCCCGAACACCCTCGCATTTACTTCTTTTACAACCCCATCTATAAATATATTAAACAACCATGGTGACATTATACATCCCTGTCTAAGACCCACCTTTACCAGGAAGTAGCCTCCCTCTCTTCTACACACCCTAACCTGAGCCTCACTATCCTCACAAAAACTCTTTACAGCATTTAGTAACTTACTAACTATTCCATATACTTGCAACATCTGCCACATTGCTCCCCTATCCACTCTATCATGTCTTTTCTAAATCCATAAATGCAATGAAAACTAACCTACCTTTGTCTATATCAAAGCATATTTCTTGGGTAGCATTGAAAAATGGGTTGGGCAAATATTTTGTTAATGGGATGGATTGTGAAGGACCTACCTAGTATGGGTCAACAGGCCTGCTGCAGTGTTCCTCCTATCTTTTTTTTTATCAACACATCGCCCGATTCCCACCAAGGCAGGGTGGCCCGAAAAAGAAAAACTTTCATCATCATTCACTCCATCACTGTTTTGCCAGAGGGGTGCTTTACACTAAAGTTATAAAACTGCAACATTGACACCCCTCCTTCAGAGTGCAGACACTGTACTTCCCATATCCAGGACTCAAGTCCAGCCTGCCAGTTTCCCTGAATCCCTTCATAAATGTTACTTTGCTCACACTCCAACAGTACGTCAAGTATTAAAAACCGTTTGTCTCCATTCACTCCTATCAAATACGCTCACGCATGCTTGCTGGAAGTCCAAGTTGTCATGTGGGTTCGATAACGTGGATGGGGTAGAAACACTCACGTAGGCTGGTTAGTACGTATAATTATAACGGAAAGTATGGGAAGCACCATCAGCCGCCCTGCCTCTCTGCTCTCTATCTTAAGACTGGCCCACCAGTGCCTAGAGGGTGAGCGGTGTTCAAAAACATGCTATGGTCAGCATCAACATGAATAACAGTCAGTGATTCACACAGACGGTTGGTAGTGAGTCATCTACTGGTAACTGGTTAATGGTAACTGGTACTATTGAGAGCTCGCGACAATTTGTCATGTGGGTTCAATAACGTGGATGGGGTAGAAACACTCACGTAGGCTGGTTAGTACATATAATTATAACGGAAAGTATGGGAAGAAGCACCATCAGCCGCCCTGCTTCTCTGCTCTCTATCTTAAGACTGACCCACCGGTGCCTAGAGAGTGAGCGGTGTTCAAAAACATGCTATGGTCAGCAGCAACGTGAATAACAGTCAGTGATTCACACAGACGGTTGGTAGTGAGTCATCTACTGGTAACTGGTACTACTGAGACAAGCCCCTTGTACACAAAACCTCCTTTACCCCCTCCCTCCAACCTTTCATAGGCTGATCCCTACCCCGCCTTCCCTCCACTACAGATTGATGCACTCTTGAAGTCATTCTGTTTCGTTCCATTCTCTCTACATGTCCGAACCACCTCAACAACCCTTCCTCAGCCCTTTGGGCAACAGTTTTGGCAATCTCGCACCTCCTCCTAGCTTCCAAACTATGAATTCTCTGCATTATATTCATGCCACAGATTGCCCTCAGACATGACATCTCCACTGCCTCCAGCCTTCTCCTCGCTGCAACATTCATCACCAATGCTTCACACCATATAAGAGCATTGGTAAAACTATACTCTCATACATTCCCCTCTTTGCTTCCAAGGACTAAGTTGTCTCCACAGACTCCTAAGTGCACCATTCACCCTTTTCCCCTCATCAATTCTATGATTCACCTCATCTTTCATAGACCCATCTGCTGACACGTCCACTCTCAAATATCTGAATACATTCACCTCCTCCATACTCTCTCCCTCCAATCTGATATCCAATCTTTCATCACCTAATCTTTTTGTTACCCTCATAACTTTACTCTTTCCTATATTCACTTTTAATTTTCTTCTTTTACATACCCTACCAAATTCATCCACCAACCTCTGCAACTTCTCTTCAGAATCTCCCAAGAGCACAGTGTCATCAGCAAAGAGCAACTGTGACAACTTCCGCTTTATGTTTGATTCTTTATCTTTTAACTCCACGCCTCTTGCCAAGACCCTCGCATTTACTTCTCTTACAACCTCATCTATAAATATATTAAACAACCACGGTGACATCACACATCCTTGTCTAAGGCCTACTTTTACTGGGAAATAATCTCCCTCTTTCCTACATACTCTAACTTGAGCCTCACTATCCTCGTAAAAACTCTTCACTGCTTTCAGTAACCTACCTCCTATACCATACACCTGCACCATCTGCCACATTGCCCCCCTATCTACCCTGTCATATGCCTTTTCCAAATCCATAAATGCCACAAAAACCTCTTTAGCCTTATAAAAACTGGTATAAAAATAAATGGATTAGTTGTGCAAGAAAGCTATACAATGCCCACAAGATGAAAGTTAAGACATATGTGAAACATCTGGGTATCTTTATTGTAGACATTTTGCCATCCAGTGGCTTTATCAATACAGATTCTAGGACATAACTTGAAGACAGTAGAACTATATACAAAAGATGAGGTAATCAGTCCTTCAGCCTTGGAGCTGGTGTGAAGAGCACTGTAGTTGTAGAGATTCTGGAGCTCAGATAAGGAGGCTGGTGCTTATATAGGCATCAGGTAGGTAGGGACGGTGGCAAACGAGGGCATAGTCACTGGTAGGCGGGATTCCCAAGTGGAAGTAGGTCATACCCAAAGGGATGGGTTAGTTGTTGTAGTAGCTGTGAAGAAGGTCATGTAGATGTCCTCTGAACCAAGATTCCATGATGTTGCAGTGTCTGACAAGTTGTGCAAGAAACGTATATACAGTGGAACCCCGCATAACGATCACCTCCAAATGCGACCAATTATGTAAGTGTATTTATGTAAGTGCGTTTGTACGTGTATGTTTGGGGGTCTGAAATGGACTAATCTACTTCACAATATTCCTTATGGGAACAAATTCGGTCAGTACTGGCACTTGAACATACTTCTGGAGTGAAAAAATATCGTTAACCGGGGGTCCGCTGTATTACCGACAAGATGAAAGTTAAGACACATGCGCAACATCTGGGTATCTTTATTGTAGATGTTTTGCCATCCAGTGGCTTTATCAATACAGATTCTAGGACATAACTTGAAGACAGTAGAACTATATACAAAAGATGAGGTTATGACCTTCTGGCAGCCCTGATGCCAGATGCACAGTGGTCTAGTGGTCGTATGTCATGCAGGTCGCAAGTCGAATGGTACCTGTACTTGTTATAATGGTAGGACTGCTGGTGTCATTTTTCTGTCTCCTAAACATGCAAGATTTCAGGTACATCTTGCTATTTCTATTTACACTTAGGTCACACTGCACATGCATGTACAAGTATATATATACACACCCCTCTGGGTTTTCTTTTATTTTCTTACTAGTTCTTGTTCTTGTTTATTTCCTCTTATCTCCATGGGGAAGTGGAACAGGATTCTTCCTCCGTAAGCCATGCGTGTTGTAAGAGGCGACTAAAATGCCAGGAGCAAAGGGGCTAGTAACCCCTTGTCCTGTATACATTACTGAAGTTAAAAAAGAGAAACTTTTTTCTTTTTGGAACACCCTGCCCTGGTGGGACACGGCCAGTTTGTTGAAAGAAGAAGTGGAGGAGCACTTCATGGCTTCTCTTAGGCTATGAAGAACTGGTAGCTTTTCTACTTTTGCACTTTGGGGCCATTATTATGCAAAATTAACTGGTACTTTTTGAGCCACAGTAAATCGTGGATAACAAACTGCGGATACCGAATCAGTGGATATGGGGGTTCTACTGTATATTAAACAGCTCTTCATAGAAAGCTGTCTCTTGCAATCTAATATGCACAGCAATGATCATCTGTCTTTCCTACATTCATTCTGAGATAACCTTAATATTAAAAAGCCTCTTTCCTACATTCATTCTGAGATAACCTTAATATTAAAAAGCCTCTGAGCATTAAACCCTGAGAACAATTTAGGATAGTTCAGGTAATAATAAAAGGGGTTTTGATATTTTCCCAGCAAATGAAGGTCATCCAGGATATATGTTAATGATTTCAACAGCTATATATCTACTTTGGTTTCAGTGTTTACCCAGGGTCCTACCACTAGTTACTGATAATAAACCATGAATCTGATACTTACCCTGTAGGCATATGTATACTGGTAGGCTATGAGCTGATTTCCACTGGATTCTTCATAAATGGTTGGCACAACTTTCATTACATAATCATGTGATTCCAAGGCTGTAAAAAAAATTATATGAGCAAAATTTAGCAAAAAATATGATTAAAACCAACGTGTTAAAACTCCGATTGTGAAAACCTGCTAAATAATACACACCCAAATAGTTATATTTTCTTATAGAACTATGTGGACACCAGCAGAGCTCTGGCTGTGTATAAATTGATATTTTAAATGCAAGAAATTATCTTGTAACACCTTTTTTTTTTTTCAACAAACCGGCCGTATCCCACCGAGGCAGGGTGGCCCAAAAAGAAAAACGTAAGTTTCTCTTTTCAAATTTAGTAATTAATACAGGAGAAGGGGTTACTAGCCCCTTGCTCCCGGCATTTTAGTCACCTCTTACAACACGCGTGGCTTACGGAGGAAGAATTCTGTTCCACTTCCCCATGGAGATAAACAAGAACAAGAACTAGAAAGAAAATAGCAGAAAACCCAGAGGGGTGTATATATATATGCTTGTACATGTATGTGTAGTGTGACCTAAGTGTAAGTAGAAGTAGCAAGACGTACCTGAAATCTTGCACGTTTATGAGACAGAAAAAAAGGCACCAGCAATCCTACCATCATGTAAAACAATTACAGGCTTCCGTTTTACACTCACTTGGCAGGACGGTAGTACCTCCCTGGGTGGTTGCTGTCTACCAACCTACTACCTAGGTTTGTAACACTTACAGTATAATAATTTGAGTTGATGTACACTGTCAAGTTATATTTAGCTTGCATTTTCATGGAATTTGATCCATCTCATGTTAAAGAACCTTAGCTACCATATACAGACAATCCACAATAAAAATAACAATTAGTGTATGTTCTGTAAATAATTTGTAGTAGTGTTTAAAAATGAGACATTTTAGTATATAAATTTTAACCTTTAAATGGTCCAAACGTATATATACGTTTTTTCAACATCGGAAAGTACGTAAAAAATGTAGATCTTCTTTTTTGTTTTACATTTGAAAACATGTAAAAAAACTTTTATCTACATTTTTTTTTGTTACATTTGAAAATATGTTAAAAAAAGTAGATCTACTTTTGTAGCACTACGAATTTGAACGTCGATTTGTTTGGACCGTTTAAGGGTTAAGTAAAATGTTAAATGTCGATGAAGATATGGAAGCTGTGAGTCTGTGCATTGGTCAGGGAGGTATATCATCTTTTAGGAGTGAGAAAGAGCCAGATGCGAGTGTGGGGCAGGTGTGTGAAACTGTGGGTAAAATGAAAGGAGGTACAGCAGCTGGGATTGATGGGATCAAGACAGAAATGTTAAAAGCAGGTGAGGATATAGTTTTGGAATGGTTGGTGCTTTCATTTAATAAATGTATGAAAAAGGGGGAGGTACCTAGGGATTGGCAGTGAGCATGCATAGTTCCTTTGTATAAAGGCAAAAGGAACAAAGGAGAGTGTAAGAATTATAAGGGAATAAGTCTGTTGAGTCTAGGTAGTAGGTTGGAAGATATCAACCACCCAGGAAGGTGTTACCATCCTGTTAATTGAGTGTAAAACAGAAGCCAGTAATTGTTTTACATGATGGCAGGATTGCTGGTGTCTTTTTTCTGTCTCATAAACATCCAATATTTCAGCTACGTCTTGCTACTTCTACTTACACTTAGCTCACACTACACATGCATGTACAAGCATATATACACATATACACACACCTCTCTGGGTTTTCTTCTATTTTCTTACTAGTTCTTGTTTATTTCCTCTTATTTCCATGGGGAAGTGGAACAGAATTCTTCCTCCAGAAGCCGCATGTGTCATAAGAGGCGACTAAAATGCTGTGAGCAAGGGGCTAGTAACCCCCTTCTCCTGTATATACATGTATTACTAAATTTAACACTTTGACTGTTTCGGTCATACATATACGTCTTACGAGCCACGGTGTTTGATGTATATATACTCATAAATTCTAGCGGCTTCAAATCAAGCAGGAGAAAGCTGGTAGGCCCACATGTGAGAGAATGGGTCTGTGTGGTCAGCGTGCACCATATAAAAAGAATCCTGTAGCATGCAGTGCATAATGAGAAAAAAAAAACACTTTTTTTTAATTAAAATGCCAAATTTGTGGTCTATTTTTGTATAGTACAGTGGTCCCTCGTTTTTCGTAGTTAATCCGTTCCTGGAGCTGCTACTATTAACGAAATCTACGATTTGCGAATCAATTTTCCCCATAAGAAATAATGTAAATACAATTAATCTGTTCCTGACACCCAGAAGTATTAAAACAAAAAAATTTTTTACATGAAATATACATGTAGTACATAAACAATACAATGGGAAATGATGAATGAAACATTAACAGCATAACACTTACCTTTATTGGAGATTCTTCTTAGTGTATGGGAGACTGGGGGAGGAGAGAGATTGGATTGTTTATAGTTCGGAAGGGGAATCGCCTTCCATCAACACCTCAGGTACCAATTGCTTTTCTGGGGTTGCTTCTCTTCTCTGTTTCTTAATGCCACTAGGACCATCTTGAGAGTCACTGGAGTCCTGTCTCACAAAATAACTGTGGAGAGAGCTCTATTTCTGGCATCTCTTTAACACTTCCCTAAAATGGCCCAAGACTTTGTCACTGTACATGTTGCCAACATGGCTTGCAACAACCTTGTCAGGGTGATGTTTCTCCATAAAGCTTTCCACCTTACCCCACATAGCAAAAATCTCTTTAATTTCTGAAGAAGGCACCTTCTTCCATCTCTCTTCCTCCTCCTCTGCAGCAAGATTCTGAGCTGCGATCTGCTGCTGTTCCTGCTGAAGCTCTTGCAGCTCCTCAGTGGTGAGCTCTTCGTCGTGGTCTTCCACCAATTCTTCCACATCCTCCAAACTCACATCCAACCCCATGGAACTCCCCAGTGCCACAATTGATTCAACAACAGACATAGCCTCATCAGAGTCAGTCCCAAACCCTTCAAAATCCCTCTTGTCGACACAATCTGGCCACAATTTTCTCCAGGCAGAGTTCAAAGTCCTGGTAGTCACCCCCTCCCAAGCCATAGCTATAAGGGTTATGCAATGGAGGATGCTGAAGTGTTCTCTCCAAAATTCCCTTAGGGTCAAGTGAGTGTCTGTGGTCACAGTCAAGCACCTGTGAAACATTGCTTTGGTGTAGTTTTTTTTAAAATTTGCAATGACCTGCTGGTCCATGGGCTGGAGGAGAGGAGTGGTATTCAGGAGCAAGAACTTTACTGTGATGAACCCAAACTCCTCGAAAATTAGGTCATCCAAGTTTGGAGGATGAGAAGGTGCATTGTCCATTACTAGCAGGCACTTGAGATCCAATTTCTTTTCCAGGAGGTAATTCTTCACACTAGGACCAAACACTTCATTGAACCACTCGACGAAAATTTCCCTCGTGACCCATGCCTTACTATTAGATTTCCAAAACACACACAATTTACTCTTCATGACAATGTTTTTCCTGAACACTCTGGGATTTTCAGAATGGTACACTAGTAATGGCTTCACTTTGAAATCCCCACTAGCATTAGCACAGAACATGAGCATCAGCCTGTCTTTCATAGGCTTGTGTCCTGGCATTGCCTTTTCCTCCTGTGTAATGAAGGTTCTCTTCTGCATTTTCTTCCAAAAGAGGCCTGTTTCATCACATTTGAACACTTGTTCAGGTTTCAGTCCTTCAGCCTCTATGTATTCCTTGAATTCATGCACATATTTTTCAGCCGCCTTGTGGTCCGAACTGGCAGCCTCACCATGCCTTACCACACTGTGTATGCCAGTACGGTTCTTAAATCTCTCAAACCAACCTTTGCTGGCCTTAAATTCACTCACATCACCACTATTTGCGGGCAATTTCTTTACCAGATCGTTGTGCAACTGCCTAGCCTTTTCACAAATAATCAAAGTCATAAGAGTATCTCCTGTTAATTGTTTCTCATCTATCCACACCAATAATAACTTCTCAACCTCTTCGAGTACTGGTGATCTCATTTTTGTCAGCATAGTTACCCCCTTTGCAACAACAGTGTCCTTGATTTCCTTTTTCTTGGCCACTATGGAACATATGGTTGTGTAGGGTTTCTTATACATCCTGCCCAGTTCGGCTGCACTTGTGCCACTTTCATATTGTTCAATAATGTTTTTCTTAAATTCAATCGTATTTCTCACTTTCTTTACCACAGGCCTGGCATTAGGAGCTTTCTTTGGAGCCAGGGTAGCTTATTTAGTGCTTGCAAGCACTAAAATGAGTGGAATATTATAAAATATTTCGTAGGAGCACGTGAGGGGACCTTCGCTCACTGGTAAACAATGGCAGACTGGCTGCCGCCCCAGCTCACACCGTGCGTACGCGTCCCGGACAAACTACTACTCGCAAGTCAACCTATGATAAGCGAGCCCATGTTTATACGAAAATATCCCTATGATTTCCGAAATCTATGATTCCCGAGAACTACGAAAAGCAAGGGACCACTGTATTTATGGTTGTATTCTCGTTTTCTTGGTCTCATTTGATAGAATGGAAAACATATTATAGAAATAGAAGTGATTTTGATTGTTTTTACTATGAAATGAACCTGGAAATGGAGCTCAAAGTAGGGGAAATGTTTGACTTTTGCCAATGTCATTTTCCATAAATGTCCAAGTAGCCATTCTAATATGCAGTCATGAATAGGTTGACTTTATGCAATTATTACAATACTGCAGTAGTCTGCATAACAGTAAATCTTCTATTTTTTGTTAGAATAAAAATTCAGATATTTGGGAGTTGACATGTCAGCGGATGGGTCTATGAAAGATGAGGTGAATCATAGAATTGATGAGGGGAAAAGGGTGAGTGGTGCACTTAGGAGTCTGTGGAGACAAAGAACTTTGTCCTTGGAGGCAAAGAGGGGAATGTATTAGAGTATAGTTTTACCAACGCTCTTATATGGGTGTGAAGCATGGGTGATGAATGTTGCAGCGAGGAGAAGGCTGGAGGCAGTGGAGATGTCATGTCTGAGAGCAATGTGTGGTGTGAATATAATGCAGAGAATTCGTAGTT